CGTTCTAACTCTCTGTTGTGTTACTACTATCGCGCGGTTTTGAATTCTGCACAACTCGAAAGGTTTTTGATAGTGCCTGGGTCCCCGGAATAGATAAAGATGATGGAGGGCTGCTGACAGGTGCAGAGGTGAACTCTTCTAGACCCTCTTTTGGGTTACCAGCTCTCAGACTATTCTCATCAACTGGTTGAAAAGACCCATTTACCTCCTCTGCCATGCTATCACCAGATCCTGAAAACAGGTGAAATAGTCCTCCTTTTTAGCTGACGAGGAAACAACAAATGGTCAGAATTGCAGCTTGACCAGGGATATTTTTGGTGCTCTTGGAGTAGGCAAGCTCCCAGTTATTGGTGTAGCCAGGGTTGTGTAGCCATTAAACTACCGTCGGATGGTCTGTGGCTCAGTGGTACCTGGGATCAATCAGGTATTTTCTTACTCAGACCACTGTTTCCAAACAGCCTAATTTGGTGCATATTTCTCAGCCAAACGATTATATACCTGTTTGCACTAACCAAGCCCATAGTGAATATCGTTATAGCTAGAGGCAATCTCCTGATATGCCTCCTTTAGATTGTCCAGTAGGCGAGTGGAATTGGTCTGAACTTCATCATCTTAGTAAGAGAATCGTGTTTGTATTACTTTGTCTACTAGATTGCTCGATTGTGTGTATGGATTATTTAAAGCCCTTACAGGTGGTAACATGGCTGTGTGTAAGTTCGACTCAGGATGTCCTGTGCAAGATAATTAAAAACACCTGGTATATTTTCTTTACTTTCCAAGGATTTATCATTGGTAATAACGAGTCAATTTTGATAAGTTAACTTTAATTTCCATAGAGTCCTTACTCAAGAAAACAGGCATACACTTTACGCTGAGACCGCTATTGGCCTTTCCTATAATTTCAAGTCTCTCTACAATAGCTTCTTGGAAAATCTTGGCTTTAGTTATCTCATAATCCCGATTCTTTAGCTGGCTCTCTTGTTCTCGAATTTTCAGTTGCTGTTGTTCACTAGTGTCCTCATGTGCATTAATCGAACAAACTCAAAGTGTTAGGGAATAACCAAGGCCATGCTAAGAGGTGAGTTAGGGGTGCACACTAAAGGCTGCCTCTCCTGTAAAGTTCCTTTAGCTCTGAAATTGCCCTTTCTAGATCTGCCTTGTCACTCGATCCTATATCAAAAGACAAATGATAAACATAATTGGCCTCAATTCTCAGCAATAGCTGAGACTCACCTTTTGTCAACACGAGAGATAGGTGCCTCTCAAGATCTGCAAATCACCGCATGCCTAGGTTCTTGAACCCCATGTGGCATTCGCCAACAATGTCCATGGCCATCGACCAACTGGTGCAAGTTAAAGCCAGGTGTACAGGTTAAGCGTTAAAGCCGATCTTCCGAGCCTTTGCATCTCCTGTTAGGATGTATGGAGGTGTTGTGGGGCATATTGTACCAGTAGGATATGTTGGTACACTCGTCCCATCCGAACCACATTGCTACAACGTATACACTTA